TTTCATAGTGTTTTGCTGTTATTTGAGGGTTCACTATTTGCCGATAGCTGGGACCGTAACAGGTGCTACTACCTCGGGTTAGGGTGGACCAGGGAACAACAGCAATTAAGAGGTGGTTTCATGCTCCTCTCAATATCCAATGTCCTGATCAGAGGCCTTGCTGCTTGCTGGATGTAGTTTATCATCATGCCCAGGACTATAGAGAGAAAGGAGAAATTGACATTGGTAACAGGCTCTGCAGTAGCAAGTCAGCTGCTGCTGTGAATAAGGGTAAGACCAAACAAGCTATTTCTCTCATTACAGCCAACAGAAGAGCAGTTATCAAATTCCTTGAATGCCTTTCAATCAACCATGGTAGTACCTGCTTTATACCTAAATGAAGAAATACCTCTCACCACAATCACTTTTAGTGAAATGAGACAGTTGATAATAATCCAAATGTAGACCAGTTGCAGAAAGGCTTGTATCTGGATGCAGAAACCCAAATATGTCCACACGCAACTTGGGGCCTCTTTTGCATCTGTACCAATATGCATTTGACATAAATTTTATAATTAAATATGGGAAAACAAAAACTTACTTTCATCTTTTCCTTTTGTACTTCTTTGGCAACACTGTCCATCACTTCAATCAGTGAAGACACAATTTTGTGAAATGATTCTATTTCTGCAAAATAAGACAGAAGAAAAAGTGAGACAAGAATTAATATTATATATATATATATATATATATATTAAAGAAATTTTTTTTTATGTTTAATAAATAAATTGTCGGACTTTGTCCATTTCTTAATATATATATATATATATATATATATATATATATATATATGCGTGTGTGTGTGTGTGTGTGTGTGTGTGCAGATATGTAGAAAAATAGGAAAGAACTTGTTAGGTAAATAATCCGGAGTTCTTTAGTATTTTTGTTTTTATTTTTTATAAAACAGTGCTCTATGCAGAAGTAGAGCTTAAATTATAACTATTTTTTTTAAAAATATGATTCCTTCACTACATAAGAGTTCTAATATTTCAAAAATGAGAGCCGATTGGGGCCTCTTTTGCATCTGTAAAGATATGCAGTCAAGATTGGTTATTCCTAAATTTTCACTTGAGGATGAAACAGGGCTTGATACTTTAACTCAATTGAATTTTAATAATTATATTGAGGTTTTCGGCTCTCGTTTTTTGAAACATGAGAACTCTTATGTAGCGAAGGAAATATTTTAAAAAAATAATTATTATATATATATATTTGGGGAAAATTAAAATGGATGAATGAATCTTTCTTTCATAGCAAACTCCCATTATAAAGGGTTCAAAGGTAAATTGAATTTGGACACTAAATTTGGTCCTGTGTCACAAAAAAAAAAAAAAATAAAAAAAACTTTAATAAAGTAAAGAAAGGCCTTTCATTCGTATTTAAACAAACTTGTGAAATATAAAAAAAAAATTTATAAAAAAGCATGCATCATCTTTTCAAACTGAAGTTATATAGCTTAACATTTTTTCAGATGTTCTTTCATGATCACTCAGTAATTAAAATTAAATTTTTAATGAGGGTTTTACTTTTATATTTCAATACGTTCACTTCGCTACCAAATGTGACACAAGGTCAGTTTTAAGGTGAGTTTTTATTTAACGGCAATACGGTGGAAAAATTGCTCAAGCAAGCCCCCACCTCGGCACTTTCAATTTTAGGGGCGGTTCAGACGCCGGGTAATAACCGCAGCCCCATCCCGAAAGAGAGGTACTGCCTCGGGAGGGGAAGTACTGGCCCCCCGTGGTGGTGGTGGTAGGGGAGTCTTGAGGTTATATTTTGATTTTCCTCAGCAAAAGTACCAGTGAATTCTTTTCGAATGAGTGTTTCTTTCATTTTTATTTATTTATTTTTGCGTTTACTGAGTGAAGTTTAATAAAATTTAAATAATTTTTTAATCAATAAAAAAATTCATCGCACCAAGAGGCCAATTAAAAAAAATAAAATGTTGAAAAAGTGTTCAACACATTTTCATATGACTTTTTAGCACACTTCGCGATTTTATAAAAGAAATGTCTCACCATTTTAATTTTAACACAATATTCGCATTATGAGGCGAGAGAAAAAAATCTACCAACATAGCAACCGACTGCTTTAGCCTAATGATAATGATGATATATTATTTTTTTTTCTTTTTGTAAAAGACATTCAACTAGTCAGTAGGTACTTCTTGTAGTAGTAAATCTTTTTTTTAAAATTTTTCTTTTAAACAGAACACGAACCTGAAAGTAATGTTTGTAAACAAATTCAACGTTTTTATTTAAAAGCCATGGACCCTAATCGACCGTAGTAAAAAATTAAAAATTAGATTAGAAATAAATAAATGTCAAAATACTTACTATCCATGAACTCCTTGCAGGAGTCCCTAAGCTCGGAACTCTGTTGCTGAACATCGGGTTCTAAAAGGCGAAAGTTATTCAGTTCGTCGATATTTAGGCCAGCTTTTTTCAAGACCTCTTCGGCCATTTTCCTTGTTTCCTCTTTTTCTGGTATCTATAAACGAACGTAACGATAAAGTTGGTTGTACCATTCACAGCCGCGGTTATACGTATATATAACTCACTCCAGTTACCTAAGAAAGGACAAAAACAAGTCTCTTTTTTAATATTTAACACATATATTTCTCTCTTGTGATTTTCACAGTTCTTTTGTCAATTACCATTGCGCCATCAAAAAAATAATCATAAAAAAAAAACTAACAGGAAACTAAAACGAATAGTTTAGCCGAGGGAAGCAAATATTTCTGGAGCCTGGTGTCCTGGGTTGTTGAGCTTGTACCTCAAGCAGATTCCCACCTTTGCACTAAAAACAGAAGGGACGGATTCGCCACCTAAGTGTCTGCAATTATCTAGGGAAGCGGGTAATTTCCATATATAGCCAATATAAATCAATCATCATACAACTTTGAATCGTGTTTTGGTGTTGTTTGTTAGAGAATGATGCTCTGGTTACTGTAGTAACGTCCGATGTCGTATTTGTTCTCGCAAGAAAAATGACAAATAAATTTTCTCGAGAAAGAAAGAATTACCTACTTTTTTTTTACCTTGTTCCTCCAGCCGTCACACATCAAAGGGCCAACAAAATCAACAATAGACATTAATTATTAAACTTAAACATATTTATTGACAGTCACTAAAAAAGAGTCATTTTAACTTTTGTTCCGATTCATAGCAAAAAAAAAAAAAAAAAATAGCGTGCCCAGCGAGAATCAAACTCGTTAATGAATTAAGTGGTCGACTACACGGGCTAAAGATTTTCTGACATATTCTATTTCTGTTCTAATTGTAAAATGTATAAAAAAAAAAAATTAGCTTAGACACAAAGTCACGGTATTTTGAAAGCATTTTTTTACTTTTATCGGAGGAGAATTGAACTCCCGTTACGTTGTGTCCCTTCGGGACATGGGTGATCATGGCTCTTGTTGCGGGCTGTGGTTAAGGTTGAAAACACGTGTCTTCCGGTATATATTTCTCACACAATTACGGACTAGGAATGTGAGTCCGGGTAAAAGTGTTCTATGACTAAATATTGTTACTCAGCAAGCAACAGTCAACCAGCCTATCCTTGCTAACCACGCCGAGATGGCCAAGGTTGTTGAAAGCAACTAAGAAACAATTTATAAAAATATAGTGAAGGTCCCGTGTTTGTCTGCTAAAGTCATACATTTCAATTTTTAATCAATGTAAATTATTGCAATGTATAGAGGCATCAGTAGGTTGGTTTTATATCGCGTCTGGTTTACCATTCGGCCGTTGAGGCTTTGTTATATTAAAAAATCCAAACAACAATGGAATAAAATTAAGAAAACATGAATATGTACGTTAAATAAATCATTTGTATTTACAAAGATATGGACATAAATTGAAAAAAAAAACGGTTAAAAGTATTAAAATAGTCTTTTTAGTTGAGTTAAAGTCTTTGGTTCACAGAAGAAGAAAAAAACTGTAGTTGAAAAAAAGACTTTTACTATAAAAGTCTTTTCTCAACCGGTCAGTTGATTTTTGCTAACGATATCCACTGTCTTTGTTGTTGTAGTTGATTCGTTTCAAGCCGCCAACACATTATCGTCAGCGAAGATTCACTGATCGTCGAAGCTGTTGTAGCTGATTCGTTTGAAGTTGCCGACACATATTTCTTTCAGCACATGGTGACGGATGGTGGAGAGTTAGAAATTTTCCCCGATTGCATGTCTTCTCTTGCGTCCGAACATCCCGGAGACCGTCGTGTACCTGTTCTTTGAAAGTCGAAAATTTTTCCGAAAGAAGGCTCGAGAAATTTTTTTATTTATTTATTTTAGTTTTCTCTGATTGGTCAAATATCTCATGATGATGTTAATTTCTAACTGATAGTAACTTTGCTTTAAACGGTGTGTGCTTTATTGTGGCATATTTGTAATATTGTCTATTATTTGGTAGAAAATAAAAGACGATATGAAATACATTGTTATGAAGTAATCGTTTACCGAAGCTCGAAAAAGAACAAAACGCTACTTCGAAGGAGTTAAACATTTTTAAAAATCTTATTTCTAATCTGTGAGGCTTTTTTCCTTTGTTCTTTTTACTAATGCTCACCCAATACTAGGCCGACGAGCCACTCAAAGTAGAGGGTTACTGTGTGGAGTTATATTAGCATAAGAAAGAACAAGCGTTAAGAGTATAGAGCTGAAGTGGACTTTAGAAGGAACCGGAAACTCAATTCTAAAGGGAAACAAAGGATAATTCTATACTCCTGTTCAAAAGACTGGGGAGGATTTTGAGCCGACAATAGGCGAACGAGCTACTTCAATTAGTGGAGGACAGAAAATAAAACAAAATGAAATAAATAGTGAATAAAATTTCAGAGTTCAGGCGCAGACGCTAGGAGTACAGAGCTGAAGCAAACTTTAGAAGGAACTGGAAACCAAATCCTAAACAGGAAACATGGGATAAACCTCTACTCCTGTTCAAAAAACTGAGGAGGTGTGTGAATCGGACGATAGGCGAACTAATCTACTCCTATTGGTGGAGGAGAGAAAAATATATAAGTAATTAGTGAATAAAATTTCAGAGTTCAGGTGCTCATTACGCGGTGTAGGAATTTTCCCCGATTGCGTGTCTGTTTGTGCTCGGCAGTGAAAGTGAAATGAATAAAACGCAAAGTTCGAAATAACTGTTGAACAGATTTTATTTCTAGTTGAAAGAATAGTACGAAATAGTAGTATTTCGCAGAGTGGGGGGCAGTTAACAAAGTTCTTGAGTAGTTGTTTTGTAGAGAGAAGAACGAGAAATCTGAGTGTGAAATTGCTATGACAGGCCTCGTCTTCTGCAGCAAGAGTACTGTGTAGTTTTCCTTTGGTAGGTGTCCCGAAGGAAGATTTCTCCACCAGTACCCACGGGCGGAATGAGAAATCCGAACTAGAGTTGCCAGGACAGGGCCACGTGTCTTCTGCAGCAAGGGTTGAGAGTAACCTCTTCCCGTTAGGTTTGAAGGTTGAGGCCGCTGTAAGGGAAGAGTAGAAAAGAGTGGGCCTTGAATGTAGAGGCTGCTGATGGGAAAGAGACCGAATAGAGCTCGGTCAAGGCTTTTATGACCTTTGGGATTTCCGGTTGCATCCTGATGATTATTTCTGTTGCTGCTACTGCTGAATCGAGCAAAATAAGGAAGCCTCAACATGCCATAATAGCCAACAAGTGAGATAGTTTCTATAGTGGATGTGAGTCCATGTTTAGTGGTGTCAACACTATTTGGAGGACCGTTTAAAAATTAACCGAGAGTCCCCTTATAAATTTATAAAATCGTCCTATTAAAACAATTTTTCAGGAAAATAGGTTTCTCAAGTTTAGTAACTTTTATTCTTTTTTTCCAGCATTGATGAGAGCTTCCTTCCTAACCTTTTCTTTGAAGTGGTGTGGAATGTCGCAGGTGGCGTAATGCTTATATTGGAATGGCTGGGTCAGATCCGGCGCTATACGGGGTCCCACATGTCGATTTCAAAGTTACCCAACCTGGAGGCCATAAAACCCTGAAGGAAAATTAAAGGAGAAGAGAAGCGCTTTTTTAAACTACCAAAAATCAGGGATTATCAAATTTAAATGAAAATCCCAGTACATATTCATTAATTATTTAGTTTTATAACGAATAGTTGTTTTTTTTTAAATTCGAGAAAATATTATTCTTTTTGTAATAACTACCAATATTTTCATGACTAAATTTTACTCAATAAAAATGTTCAAGCGGCAAACTTTTAGATTTCCATAAAGATTAATCGCCAACGCATCTCCGCTGAAAAAAAAAAAAGTTTTACAAAGATTCCAACACAACACAAACGGGATTGTCTTAAAAATTTGTTTTTAAAACAGTATTTCAGTTTTTGAGAAAAATTTTTCATGTGTTGAAATTTTTAAACATTTTCATTTTTTTAAGCGATGATTTTTTCGGTTTTATCTTTGTAGAAATTTAAAAAAAATAGGGACTAGAAATTTTATTTTAATTACTAGCCGTGGACTTCTGGTTAGTAAAAAAAAAAATAGAGGTCCTCCTTAGTGGATGATCTCAAAATAAAAAAGATTTTACCGTGATATATGTTGTAGAGTGGTTTCACAGTGGAGGCTTGTATTTGTACTAAGTCGGTCCTAAAATAGGTTCGACGTACAAAACGTTAGGAACTTGATATAATAGGTAATGACGCAGTAATCTAGTTGTGGTGGCTGATACTTTAATATCCGACTAACGGTCGTCCGGCATCGACTGACTGACGATATTCAGTCACCACTCCCCCCCCCACACACACACGAGGGCGTCACATGGCACAAGGCCGGTTTAACGTAGGATCTCCGAGCTTGTGGGCTCGGCCAAAAATATGCCCATTGAACTAAAGTTTCTCAGATCAGTGGTTAAAAATGTCTTTGAAATATGTTGCTCTTAGCAACGGTCATCCCCTTTCGAACCTCGTGGACCTGCGCTAAAGAACCACACCAAATGACAGAAACTGCGTCCATCGAGGACTTTTATCAACAGCAACAGCTAAAATGGATAGCACATGTAACTTGGTCAATTAAGAGGAATTAAACCACCTCGATTTTTTAAATAGTAATTTTCAACATATCTCCGCTTCCTCAGGCTTACCGTCATATTACATTAAAACATTGGCTCCCGTGCGATCACCGAGGTTAAGCAGCGTTGAGCTTGGTCAGTACCAAGATGGGTTACCGCTTGGGAATACAAGATGCCGTATAAAAATTATGCTATACTACAGTAACATAAAAATTTTGCTTTTCTTCCAAGTTCTTGTGTCGGTAGAAACAGCAACTCTCGAAAATAGATGCAACTCTATTAATAAGACGACCGCAGCGTAAAATTTTAAAATGAAAAGCACATTTATTTGCAACTAGCAGCATGGCCCGGCGTTGCCCGTGCTTGATTCAAAAATCATACGACTCATACAGCAATCGCTATCACTTGACTTAAAATATTTTTGCCCTTCCTTGCCTTTAAAGGAGGGTCCTTTTCCGTGCTGATGTTGCTACATGCCTTACTTCTTGCCTATCTCACACTGCAAATATTTTCTAAGCTCTATACTAAACATTAAATCTGTTACGAAAAAAGAACTAAACAAAATGAACACAAAACGATCAGCTTTAAAAAAGGACTCGTAACTGGAAAAACCGAATGAAAAAAGAATATTAACAACAAATACTTTTTCACACCCAACCCAGTTCTGCGGAATCAAAATCAACGTTGAGTTTAAGCAAGTGAATGAGCCAATGAGGGTGCCAAAGTTTAAATTTTTCCATACAGCTATCGATTTTTTTTTTTTTTAAATTTTGGCTCTCACACTGGCCAATAGAATCTTCCTGCCTATTCGTGGCAACCGGCTATTGGCTCTCCTCTGGCCAATACAGCTAATGAAAATATCGATTATTTCCACTATCGATGGGAGTTGGGAAATGCAAAGTCGGTCGATTTTTTTTTCGCATTTTACACACATAGTTCCTGCCTTTTAAGATTCTAATTGTCAAAACAAGGATTGCACAGCCCCCCTTTGGACAGTTGGCTCTCGAAACAGGAAAAAAAAACACAAAAATGTTGATAAAACAAATGGCCATTCAAAAATAGAATCTTCCTGCCAAGGCACAATCTTTTAAAGACATCAATCTTTGTTGTAACAACCTCTCTCAGCTCGGCTATTGCAAATTCTCTGGGGTGTGACTCTGGCCAATACAAATCCGCAAACTGTCCTTTTTTATGTGATGTCTTGTGAAAAACTGCCGTGACGAAGCATGAAAATAAATGTGAACAGCCAAGACAATGATTATTTCCACTTTCATCGGTGTGGTCGATGGGACGTTGGTTCGGTCGATTGGAAGTTTAGGTTTGGTAGGCAACGTCGGTCTGTAGCCTCAGATCTGGCCTGGTAGTTTAGGATTGGTAGCATGTGCATGGTCTGGCCCGGTAGTTTTAGGATTGGTCGGCGAACGTTTGGTTCGCAAATCCGTCCCTAAACAGAAAACTTTGCTACTTCACTGGGCGGATCGACCGCGGGAACGGGATCGCGCCAAAGTGTATCACCAGGTGCATTCTCCACAGGGCGGATCAACAAACGGGATCGCGCCACACCACACATATCCTGCCTTTTCGACCGTGGAGATAGAGAGTAACTCTCGACAAAAGCACCGGAAAAAGTGTACTACATTTATTTTGTAAAATTACAAAATTGTGGCAAAGATTGCTTCACTAATCTTATTTTTGATTCACGACCCATTTTTGCTCATTCACCATAAGAACTCGTCCATCATCAGTCCCCCTTGCACCATAATACCACATCCACTCTGGGACAGGATAACACTTTCATGATGAAAAAATGAAATGGGTAATAAAAAATCAAATATTAACATAAATGAAAATAAAACTTAACTGAAACAGGAAAAAAATACACATTACCAAAAATGGAAGGTTAAAAAAATCATACGGGCATAAAAAAACAAATGGATTCGTATCATAACAAAATGTATTCATTCAAAATACAAAAACCACAGGAAGCCACCCCGATAAGTGAAAACTCGCCTCAGGCTGAAGACTGTCGAATGCAGCGTTTTCTATTTCTGATCTTCATCTTGGCTGATGCTCAAAGCATTCAATCTTTTAAAAGACATCCTCGCAAGACTTCTTTCGTTATCAATTCGGGCCGTGGCTGTGAAAACACCATCCGTTTCACCCCGCTCGAAGGGCGCGATCCATGGGCTTTTTCGGGCGAGCCGTCAACATTCTTGTAGGTTCTGGAAGAAGGCGTGCGGACCAAAGCCGCACCGTTCAAAAATTTGTTTTGTATTCCGAATCTGCTTTCCGGATCTCATCCTCCGACATGTCAGATCAGATCTATAACGATAGAAGACCTTCCTCACTGGACTGTCCTTTTCCACCCGCCAGATTGGGGACTGTGGTATCACAATCCCTCAATAATCGGATCTCTACCTGTCAAAGCGCGGCGTAGAAAAGCCAACCTCGAGGCACGTTTGTGGCTCAGCAAGTGTGGCATTCCCAGCCCCCATGAAGATGACGCTGTTCCTGATTTTCCTCCACAGAATTTTCAATCCTGTGGTCTTCTCCAAAAACTCGATAAAGGACAAGGGAAAATGTATGTAGCTGACAGCAGTCTTTTTTCGTATTCTCAGCTGGAGGTCATAAAATTCGGACTCAACCGAAAAGATTTCCAGGCGCCCTAAAAAACTCGCGATTCCCCTGTCATTGGTCCTCCGGGCCGCTTTGCTTATTTGGGCGAAAAAAGTGTAATGATATTTGCAAAGATTTGTTCAAGTACTCCCTGGCTAGAGGTAGAAAAGATAATAAATTATAGTCTATGGTTGCCGATGTTTAGAATGGCTCAGCATAGTCAGATGCGTACTAGGTATGGTTTGACATCAACGATATTGGACTAGCCGTCCGGTTTCTGGCCTGTTGCTTGACTAGATCTGCGAGATCGAGAGTCAAAAAACCGCGACAATCTTCTCAAAAACTGCTGACAGCAGTCTTTTTTATTCTCAGTGGGGTCATAAAAATTCGTGCTCCGATTCCCATTGGTCATTATATGTAAATCCCCTTTCCGAGCCACAAAAAGCTCCGCCGCTTGAGCCTCATAAAAGACGAAATTTAACTTCTTTTTTTTTTTTTTACAGAAAAATAATTTTTTTTTATAGCTGTAACCTTGGATGTGCAAGTGGTATAATGGCTTGGAATTAGCAATCGGAGAGCCGAGTTCAAATTCTAATCGGGTTCATTATATTCATTTATGTGCAAATACCCTTGGGAAAGGTATGAATCCATCTCTTCTCCCCTACTAGTTATGGGTTAATCAATAAATCATTATCTCAAAAATAATCTTACAATCTAAAAATATTTTCTGGCTTTAAATAACCTGAAAGGCTTGATAAGCCATAAAAAACAAATCAATCAATCTGCTTCTTCGTGTTATACTAGTTATGCTTCTTAAATTGTGTCAGCAAGAAATTATTTATATTAGATTTAACCTCAGCGATCGAAGAGAAATCTTTCTTCCGAGAATGTTCTATATTGAACACACGGACGTAGTTGTAAGCAAAAAAAAAAATTAAACATATCTTTGTGATTTCAAATAGCGACAATTTTTTGTATTAGTAGTTGTATTTTTTTTACTCAACTTTACTCGTCTCTAATTTCATAAACTTGTTTATTCTGATTTTATTGCAAATCTCGTATACCGTTTTATTGACACACGACGTGTAAGAAAACTGTAGAATTTTGTGAGCATTTTTGAGTGGCGTGGTTCCTAGGCCCATCTCCTAAGTTTTTTTGCGGCGGGGAACACTTTTTTAAGTCAAGAGGGCCGCAAGTCAGAATTTGTACACTAAAATTAGTTCACTTCCACATCATTTTCACATTTGGGTAGGTGAAAAATGATTTTCAGGAGTGGGCTGCCTTCAGGCCTATCCTTGGCGATGAGACTGAGCCACATTTTTTTCCATTTCTATTTTTTCCATATTGGACATGTTTTCAGACATGGCTACATGGTTGGCGAATTAGTTAATTTCCTGTTACTCGCTTTTTTCATTTTTAAAATAAAATCTAATTAAAAAGCGTTAACATAAAAATATAAGATGAAAGAAAAAACAAACTAGTCAAGAAATTAATAATTAAAAATAGTATTTCATCTTTGAATTAAAATCTCTATGCAACAAGTTCGTCACCCCCCGCCAAAAAAAAGAAAATGAAAGAAAATTATTTTTCTTTTTAACAAATATATTTTTTTAATGTTTTCAATGTAATTTTCTTCCTTGAACACCTTTACTTTTTTTTTGTGGATCAAACATTAAAATGTAAATTTCTCATCAAATTCAATTAATAACTCGGTCAAGTTACAGACTTACTGATTCATTCTGGATGTTTAATTTAGAACCGAAGACTTTCGAGAGATAGAATCCACGAGAGATAAGGGGCGTTAAAATTACTATGTCACTAGAGAGGAAATACTCATTAAAAGTACAATTCGGACAACATTTCAAAAAAACAAAAACCGTTTCTCTATTAAATTAATGGTCGAATAAAAAAAGGGAGAATTAAAATACTTCTGTAACAATTTAATTAAATAAATAACGATAGTTTTTTTTTGTTATTTTTAACAAGTACCATAGATGAGGAAATTCATTAAATGTCTGGGGAGCGCCTGTTATTCTGTGTAAAACTTTGAGAATTTAGTATGCAATTAATATTAAAACACAGGGCGCTCCCTTGTCTTTCTTGCTAAAAATTCGGTAAACGGCCATTTGATAAGAAGCGGATAACAAACAGTTGGAAATAAGAGGGGAAAAAAACAAAATCTAAAGAAAAAAAGAAAGTTCCCAGATTCCTTCTGGTCAGCCAGCAAGGATTGGGAGGGAATAGTAAAAAAAAAAACTAAGAGTTGTTTTTATTTTTTTTTTTTTAATTCTCGATAATGATAGACTAAAAAAAACAAAGAAAAACTTTAATTACTAACGTAAAAGAAAAAAAATAGTGATAAATCCTTGAAAAAAAAACAAAAAAACTGACTAGCAAGAAAGAGAAAAAGAATATTCCCCATTTTTTTCTTTGAGAAGAAAGAAAGAAAGAAAGAAAGAAAGAAAAAACGGGCATCATTAAAAAAAAACGTAGAAGTCGGAACATAAAACAAGCAAACAAGACAAGATGTCTGGGGAGCAAAAAGTGAACACACCGTCAAAGTACGTTAAATTAAACGTCGGTGGAAGTCTTCATTACACGACGATCGACACCCTAACCAAACATGATACAAAACTCAAGGCAATGTTTACAGGCAAGATGGATGTGGTTCCTGATTCTGAAGGTAAAACAGATAATAATAATAATAAACTTACTGTTTAATTATTTTTTAAACATTACGCTTTTTTTTTGTGTCGTGGGTATATTTTATTTATTCCCTCCCAGCTAGGAAAGAAAATAGAAAAAAACAAAAAAACAATTCCTCATACAGAAGTTAGTGCTAAAAATTTATTCCCCCTATCATTCCTGAATGATCCTGGAAGTAAAAAAATAAAATAATGATTACTCCCCGCCCACATTTTTAACAACAGTTTCTTTTCCTCACAGCTTAGATAGTGAGTGAAGAAAAAATACCCAGAGGTTATTCTATTAAAATAATAATAATAATAATAATTTAGATAAAAAAAAAAAATAGAAAAGTTCTAATAAAAAACAAAACCATAAGAAAAACTACTTATCTCCGTCCCATAATATTTGATACATTTAGCGTATGAAATGTGTACGAAAATGTAGCCACTGTTATGGGACATATATAGTTGCAATATAAAAACGTTTATTTTTAATTTATTCTTAGTTGTTTAGTGTTAGGAGTTCCTGTATTTATCAATTTTTTTTTAATCATCAAAATGACTTAGACGGTCATCGAGGTGCAATGGTTCAGTTTTATTTTATTTTTTTTATTTTTTGACAGTTCTTTGGTCAATAGGAATAATTTTGATGGCGCGCCCATTTATTTCCATCGAATCGAATTATTCCACGAGTTATTTTTTTGTTGCGATATCGGAGTATTTTTCTGAGCAATAAAAAAAAAGTAATTTCTCGACGATATTTCCCCAAGTAACCAAATCAATTTATAAATTATAAAAATAAAACCCCATTCTGACTCCTACGTGACATTTTTTTCTTGGAGTAATGGTCAATTGCTTCTTCTTGTCTGACTCCTGCCATACTCAAAGACTCAGATCAAACAAAAAAAATAAAATAAAATAAAAATGGAGTATTGATGCCATATCTGTGCAGGTGATGCCCAATCTGAGTTCAAAAGCGATTACACGCCCTTATGGGTGATGGATTATTCTCCAGCCTGCAACTCTTATTCCACAGACAAGAAAACGTTGCTAGCCTCTCATTCCTCTCTATCCCTAATTACTATGACAGATATTCACATTAGTTACATAGCTTAGCTTCACTAGACCTTTACATCTAGGACCCAACATGCAATGTTCAATGTGGCAAATCATCCCAATCTCCATTGTGTTCATTGTGTTCCTTTGATAAAGAGCAACTTATAATCAGACCACTTCTTCCTCAGAACTTTTATCCCAAAAGGATGCTTCCCTGACAGCTACAGTCTTGGTCAGGATTGTGGAGGGTTTGGCATTTGAGTTAGTGCCGCTAAAAGAAGTTGAATGTAAGTGGACCGCAGTAAACAAAATGAAGTTTTAATTAGAAAATTAATGTCCAATGTTTATCGATGCACGTAGGTACAACATGCTGAGTTATAGAGAATTGAGTGAGGGTGACTGACTCTCTCTTTTGTTGGCATGGCGACCAGACATGTCCGAACTCAGTGGTTGGGAGGTGAAAAGAGAGCAATTATGTCCTTTCTGGAAAAGGACGTTATGAAATTCACAAATGAACAGAAACCCTTTTTGGTTTCCTTTTACATTATGGGAAAATGAAATTCTTTATTTTTTATTATTTTATTTTCATTCTCCCACAGGGTCAGACAATGTCCTCATATGTGCTTCTTCAGTCAGTCAGTTATGTGCCATGTGTGATACATGCTTAGGCGATCATGTATTGAAAGATACATGACTGACGAGGCAGATTTTTTTTCTGGCAGTAGCTTGCCATTTCTTTCTGCAGTAGACCAGTTGCCATCCAAGGCTTATGGAACCCGGTCTGTCCTGCTATTTACCCATAGCTGGGGGGAGAAGAAAAGGATTCGTACCTTTTCCATGTGATATAAATGTGAAATTACGCATGAGGGAAGAACAAAAGGATTTCTAATATATTTTTTGAGTTTAAACGATATTTCTGTGCATTTGCCATATAATCTTATATTTCCAATGCATTTCTATAGTCATCAGTCAGTCAGTTATATGCACTAGTGATACACACTTAGGCGATCATGTATCTTTTGATACATGACTGACGAGGCAGATTTTTTTCCTGCAGTAGGTTGCCATTTCTTTCTGCAGTAGACCAGTTGCTATTCAAGGCTGTAGAACCCGGTCTGTCCTGCTATTTACCCATAGGGGAGAAGAAGGGGATTCATACCTTTCCCAAGGGTATTAGCACATAAGTGAATGTAATGGATTTGATTGAAATTTGAACTTGGCTCTCCAATTTCTCAATCCAAGCTGCTATCCGTTACTCCACCGTACTTCCTCCTAACAATGTCACTTAGTAACTTTCTATCTTGAGTGGTCCTTGGGCTAATTATTAGATGACTTAATGAGTTGCTTGTATCTTCTGTCCCCAAAAAGTGTTAGGCAAAGTCTGTCCCTCATGACATTAGAATTTGTTCTTTATTCCATACTTTACTACTAGAACACGTAGCTTCAAATGTCTCTATATTAAACACAGTGTCTTTAGCTAACAGAAAGTCTGTCTTTCTCTTGATGTGATTTAATTCAGCTATGTTATCTTAGCTCTGCCAATAGGTTTCTTCGGTGGCATCACGTGGCTTTTGACAGCTTTTCGAGCTGGAGTTTCTGATGGTAGTCAAATAATCAAACCATGACGGACATCTTTTGAAAATCGTAATGCTCCGTGGTTGGAATTTTAAACCTATAATGAAACTTGAAAATTATAGTGAGCCGTCCAAGATTTGATTAAAATATTCTACATAATGTAATGTTTTCTTGAAATTTAGATATTTTTTGGCTTTAAATTTACTTTAGTTATCACTCTTATTTTCTGATAATATCATGTATGAACATCCATATATATAAAAATCAGCACGTACATTCAAAAAAATTTGAAATTCTTTAAAAATATTGGTGTTTGATGATTTGTACTAAGCTTTTCCATTTATGAAAAGTAAATATAGTTTTTACTTAATAGTTCATATAAAAGGGTGAAATTAATACAGAATTTTAAAGGATTTAAAACTTAATAAATTATTCCAATTAAAGTTAAAAAAAAAAAAATTAAAAGATTAGATTTTACTGTACAGAGTAATTCTTGTATTCGGACTGTTAGAAGCTTATCGGTTGTTAATTTTATATTGGTACCTCAACTAATTTGTTGAAAAGAAGAGTATATGATGATGAAAAAAAAGACTGTAAACTTGATAAAAACAAAATTTTATTGTCAAAATGTTTGTTGTTATTAAGGGAAAGACCAAAATATTTTTTGATTTTATTAAATTTTTTAATCCTTTCTAAAACATTGAAAATTTTGGTTAAAAATCTTGTTTTTCCTGTCAGTGTATCAGGGCAAATATTAGTATAGGAAATTTTAGATTTTTTTTTTTTTTTGAAAAAACATGTTATTTTGGAAATTCTTGCAAAAATCAAATAATTGTTGGATTTTAATGAAATTTTCACAAATGAATGTAATTATTTAAAATTTTTTTTTTTTTTTTTTTAGTAATATATATATATATATATATATATATATATATATATATATATATATATATATATATATATGTCACTAACCTAATTTTATGAAATTTTGAGAAAAAATTCCACCCACTTTAAATTCATATTAGTTAAAGGCAGAACTTCTTGGAGAATTTAAATTATCAATTTTTTTTTTTTTTTTGTAAATTGAAACATCATTTACCAAAAATCTGTTCAGAATCAACAAAAAATGCAATAAAACTATGACACTGTTTAATTAAAAAAACTTTTAATTAAATTGTCTTAAGAAAAAAATTTCTTTTGATAAATTGTTTTAATTTAAAAAAAAATTTAATTGGAATAATTTATTAAGTTTTAAATCATTTAAAATTCTGTATTAATTAATGATACTATTAAGTAAAAACTATATTTATTATTCATAAATGGAGACAAAGCTTGCTAGAACAAGTACGACTGAGTAGTGAGTTCGATCCTCACTGGGTGCCCCATACTTTTGGCCTTGTGCCACATCTAAGCTACGCTTGGAAAATCACTATAATAGGATAAAAACAATCTTATTGAATGAAGTTAGTTAAAACTAAACTCCCCTACTAATGCAATAACAAATATAGGACTTATTACTCTTTGATCACTGGTGAATTCTTTCTTTTATTGTTTTCCCAGGTTTTACTGTCATTGAGCGTAGTGGCAAGCACTTTGACACCATTCTCAACTTCTTGCGAGATGGATCTGTTGCTCTCTCGGAGAGCAAAGCCGAATTATCCGAGTTGTATGCAGAGGCTCGCTATTATTTAATCCAGGACTTGATCAATATCATTGAGCCAGTGCTGAAGAAGAAAGAGGAAGTACAGCCCAAGTGTGTGGTTCCATTACTTACATCCCACAAGGAGGAACAGATGTTGCTAGCATCATCAAGAAAGGTAAGCAAAGAACGAACTCGGACTTTTCTTAAACTTACTGTTGAATAATTGTGAAACCAGTCTGTGTGTGACATTGAATGCAATCATTTAGGTTTACTCTGTTTTTTTTTTTTTATATTTTGCTGATTCCCTGAATAATTTTAAAAACCACTATATGTCAGATTTTGTTTTTGGTTTGGTTTATTTTGTTTTACAGCATACCAACCTCAATGGGTTATTTAATGCCGAAAACATTGTTAGGATGGATTCATATAAATAGATTATGTATTCTTTGGTTTAGATTGGTTTAGTTTATTTTGTTTTATGGCATGTCAACCTCAATGGGTTATTTAATGTCGACAACATTTTTTATTGCTGGTAATATTTTGTTTTGTCAAAAATCTGTTTCTGGTAATATATTTCCTTCAAAATTGTAATTGCTGGTAATAATTTTTTTCAAAAAAGTATTGATGGTAATAGTTAATTATTTGCCCATAGCACCTGGGAACACCAGCAATTAAAAGGTGGTTCCATGCTCCTCAAAACCTCCTGATAAGAGGCCTTGCTGCTGGACGTAGTTAAACGTCTTACCCAGGACGCAGATGTAATTTAACGTCTTACCCAGGACAGGTTTTGTTTTTATACTATCTTTTACTAACCGAGACTATTTTTATGTCAAATTAAGAAAACAGTAAGGAAGACAATATTTGTCTTTTTACTAATGAAAAAAAACTGAGTAAGCTTGTTTAGAATTTATATCAGTGTGTGTTTGAGGCTTGCAGTTATTTACTGAATTTTGATCTGAAATTTTCACTGTATAATGTTCTGTAATTAATATTCACTACCAAATTAAGTTTAATGACAAAAAAGGAGATTGTTGAAAAGTATATATTTATTGTGTAAAATAAACACTTTCTTCATCATTATGCTATGGTCTTATTGATGTAAATTTGCAATGCACTCATATAAAATCATTTCCAATCCATTCCTGTTACAAAAATGAATTTCAATGTATTCTTTTAACAAAAAACTGTGCCTTGAAAATTTGATAATTTTGACAAAGTAGGAAAATTCGGTAACTATGAAACAAAAGCTGATTGAAAATTGATTTTAGGGCTGCTTTTGAATGGGGTCTTGGGGGGCCCCCCTATATTTTTGAAATAGAAATAAGGCTTTGTTTCTTTAAAAAGAAATAACTATTTAAAATTTAATTTATTTACTACATTTTTATTAAAATAATAATTTGAAAAGAAGACACATGATCTTAAGTTTAACATAGACTAGCAATATAACCTGTCTTCAACCAGGTCTTTCATTACTGAGAATTTTTGCTGTTCATTTGGAGCTGTTAAGTCAGCCCAATTGAAAATCAATATTGGTAGATGTTTTGGACAAACATGGCATCAACCATGTCTGACAGCTCCACTTTTTCTTTTGTTCTTATTTTTTCTTTTCTTTTTTTTTTTTTTTAATCAATTCACCCCAAGCAAGGTGATAATGCCACTAAGATGCAAGGGACTACTGGGAGTGAAAGAGAATGAAAAAGACTTTAGAAGGAACCAGAAACCCAATCCTAAACAGGTAACAAGGGATAAGCCTCTAATCTATTCACCCCAAGCAAGGTGATAATGCCACTAAGATCCAAGGGGCTAATGGGAAAAGAGAATGAAAAAAGACTTTAGAAGGAACCAGAAACCCAATCCTAAACAAGAAACAAGTGATAAACCTCTACTCGTCTATTCACCCCAACCAAGATGATAATGCCACTAAGATGCAAGGGGCTACTGGGAGTGAAAGAGAATGAAAAAGACTTTAGAAGGAACTAGAAACCCAATCCTAAACCGGAAACAAGGGATAAACTTCTACTCGTCTATTCACCCCATGCAAGATGATACTGCCACTAAGATGCAAGGGAGTGAAGGAGAATGAGAAGACTTTAGAAGTAAATAGAAACCCAATACGAAACAGGGAACATGGGATAGACTTCTACTGCTGTTCATGAGCAGACCAGTGAATTTAAATTTTTTTTATCATTTCACCCCAAGCAGGGCAATGAAACCACTGATTCACAAAGGGTTACTGAGTGTGAAATAGTAAGAAAAAAAAGTGAAACATTACTAAGAAACAAGAACAATAAAAGAAGAGGAATCACGAAAACACTAGATAACTCTGACATTTGTAATTCTTATTTAGTATTACATGACCACTATATAGGAGTTGATGTGGCAGAAATTTATAACTGCAATCATAATAAGACTACAAAAGAAAAATATCTCCTATCACTACATACAGTATCCCAAAATATTTGTTTTCTAATGATATTTTGTGTGCCTTAATTGAAGTAAGCAAAAACTATGCTTTATAATCCTGGCAATGCTGGGTGACCTTGCTATGACCTGTGGCAGACTAAGTCTAAAAATATTGGTTGCCAAGAGACAAAGGGGGTCCACCCACAACTAGAAGGCTATCATTTAATTTTCACAATAAATAAATAGAACCAGCCCTCCCAACCATGACCCCCCCCTTTTCCACATCCGTTTAACACTGTTTCGTTCCTTCACATACTGAGTGATTATTTGTTTCTTTATTGCATTTTTATCTGGTATTGCTCTTTTGAAAAACAATTCTATTTTATTAAGTTGGAATACAAAACTCGAGAAAGAAGTCAGAGATTTATTTATCTAATTACAGTGAGCTCCTGCCTATTCACGTTTCAGTATTTGCAACTTCACACATTTGTGGATTTTTCTTTAGAACATATGTACTTGTTATTTACGGAAAACCCGAATAATTGCGTGTTTTTCTGAAGAACATATGTACAAATTTGTTGTTGAGAACTCCCTTGGTTTGCGTATTTTTTCAATAGAACATATGTAAAATATTCTTGTATTATTTTCCTGCTATTTAAGTGACTTAAAACATATGACATTCCATTTTTATGGTAAAAATTGGCAGAATTGTACATCTTCATTGTAAAAATCAAACACAAAAACATGCATAATACTTGGGCTTTGTTCTTTGTTAGGGGCTGCAGCTGGGGTCTTTTAAAAGTGGCTTCTGCTAAGTCTGGGAGCATCATCACTGTTCTATTTTTAGAAAATGTTTTAAACTTTATATTTTATGTCTTGTTACACATATTTTATACAGTATTTTTTGAATGGTTGTATCAATCTATGCATAATTAAAAATTGTTATTGTACATACGAAAGAAAATTTACACGAAGTGTATGGTCACCAATGCTATTTTTCAAAAATGTTTTTAAAAGGATCTGAAATGTTTCTAAAAGTGTTTAGGATGAAAGTTTAAGGTATATGTGGTTTTAACAATCAAAATAGGTACTTAGAAGCACTTTTAGGAGTGTTACAAGTATTCATGGATTCTATCTATTTGTGGCTGGTTTTGGTCCCTAACCCCCGTGAATAACTTCCTTCACTGTAATTATAATTTTTAAGGGCCCTTCAAAGATTCATGGGCCCGTTTGGCTCGCTAGGCCTCCAGCTAAATCAAGAGTACTGCTTGATATACTTTGAAGTTGCCAAACCTCTCAAATAAGGAATTGTAACTTTATCTTTAAATTCACATGCTCTTGATGAAAACGTGACCTTTCCTTAAATCTTTAGCATTCAACCTTCCCCATGTATACTTTGCCATAAAATATAATATCATTGCAAATAATACAGAAAGTCACACAAACAGTGAGACTTTGAAAGCCAATATTTATGTGGTGGGTTTGAGCATGTTGAATGCTAATGGGTTAACTATGCCCGATGAGTGGCTCCCTATTTGCTGGCCTTCCACCACCTTCCCTGTTTCACGCATTGCCTATGTATGTTCTGTTCTTTCTTTTCTTTCTCCTTTTTATTACTAAAAAGAGTTGTCTTCATTTGTTTTTTTATTGCATTTATATTTGATATAGGTGACCTACTTTGTCAGTGCCCCACTTGTCATTGAGCAATCTGACATCCTGACCAGTCCATCATTGGCTATGACTTAGTATAAAACCCCAAATAATCACCTTGATTTTTTTCTTTTTCAGCCTGTAATCAAACTTACCTGTAATAGGCACAACAACAAATATTCATACACAAAGTAAGTAAAAACTTGTCTATATTTTCTCCTCTTTCATAAATTTGTTTTGTACATTTAAGTTGTTGCTAAACTTGTAAAATGTCTCCCCTCCAAAACAGTGAGGAAGTCAAGAATTAGATTTTAAAGAAGACAGAAATTTACCGTCAGACAACCTTTTTTTTTTTTTCTGTTATTTTTTTTTAAATTGTTCACCGAGATGATTCTTTTTACATCTCAGTGTTTATTACCCGCCCCCCAAACACACTTTTTTTTAAAACATCAAAAATGAATGTATTTTGAAAGTAACCTTTGATTTTTAGTCAAACTAAAAATAGTTGGGCATCTTGTTACATTTCATCAAAGTAATGAGTCAGTCTTAAACTTGTTATTACACTTGGCAGCACAAAGTTTGAAAGGCTTTACAAATTTAGCAATTTTTAAGCTGTCTCTTTTTATATGGCTTTTTAGAAAGATGACAAATTCTTCTCCACTTGTCAGTAAGAATTTTAGCTGTCTAAATAAATCTGGCAAATAAATTTTATTCTAACCAAAAAATTGTAACAAATAATATTAAATTTACCAATCCAAATAAATCTGGCAAATAAATTTTCAAATAATTATTCAAAAATTAGGCAAATATTCAAATAATTAGGCAAATAAATTTTAGCTATCCAAATAAATCTGGCAAATAATATTATATTTACCAATCCAAATAAATCTGGCAAATAAATTTTAGCTATTCAAATAATTAGGCAAATAAATTTTAGCTATCCAAATTAAATGGTGCTGAAAATAATATTATATTTACTAAATTCAAATAAATTTTTATATTTACTTTCCAAATAAATTTAGCTATTATATTTACCCAAATAAATCTGGCAAATAAATTAAAAATAAATCTGGCAAAAATAATTTTAGCTAACAAATTTAAATAAAAAAATTTACCCGAAAAAATGATAAATCTTTTTTAGGCAAATAAAATATTTAGCTATCCAAATAAATCTGGCAAATGTAAAATAAATCTTTTAAATTTTAGCTATTCAAATAATTAGGCAAAATAAATTTTAGCTAACCAAATAAATCCCTGAAAAAAAAAAAAATTTTAAAAATAAATTTTACAATAAATTTTTTAATAAATTTTAATTCAAATAATTAGGCAAAAATTTTAGCTATCCAAATAAATCTGGCAAATAATATTATATTTACCAATCCAAATAAATCTGGCAAATAAATTTTAGCTATTCAAATAATTAGGCAAATAAATTTTAGCTAACCAAATAAATCTGGCAAATAATATTATATTTACCAATTCTAAGAAATTGGATAAATAATATTATATTTACATAATCCAAAAGATTTGATTCAAAATAAAATTTTCTTTAATTTGGTGATTGTACAGATAATTTAGTAATTTGTGAGTTCTCAATGTGGAACAAATTTCATTGTAAATTTTTTTAAAAATTTTTTGGCATTTGAAAAATAAATTTTTTTTCATTAATTATTACAGTAGTGAAAATCAAATGAAGTTCAACTTAGGGTCAATGTTGAAGAATAACACAGAAAAGATGGTTTTGAGTCTTACTATATCAATTTCTTTAATTTGGTGATTGTACAAGACGTTTTAATTTGGATGTTTGGAGGTTAAACTTTTGAAAAGAAATGATCTCAATGTGGTTGCATTCAAACATTAATAACAACTTTGCAACCTAATCAACAGGCAGATTAAGTTTAAAGCTGCAAGTTTACTACAACAAATTGTCCTACAAGAAAATGGCTTAGTAGATAACAGCATTGGTTTGTGAATTTGGTGACATAGTGGTTGTGATTTTAATCTCTGGTGCAGGCAGTGTGTATTTGCAATGCATGAACAATAACTAAATAAAAATAAAAACTAGTATAATGTAATCCCCTCTATTTGGAGCCATACAATTTGGACCCTATATCTCGTAGATATCTTCACCTTGGGATGCCTGTGGGGTTAGGTTGGTTACATACAGTTTTAAACTGTATGTAACTAACCTGTATGCACCAAGTTGGTGGTAGTTATGTTGTCAATGACAAGAAAAAGTGGGGTTGCCCTTCCCTTTGATTCAGTAAGCCATGGTATTTTCTTGATGGCTGGGCTGAAATAAAGAAAGTCAATGCTCGTATCAGAAGAAGAAGGTCTGATATTGTTTGAAAATGATAAAACGCAGATTGTGTGTGTGTGTGTCTGTACGTTTATATATTGAATCGTATTTCCTACATTTTTCAACTGATTTCAACAAAACTTCACAGGACTACGTAAAATTACCTTGCGATGGTTCTGACATTTGGAAAAACACAATTGTTTTTGCACAAAATCAATTTGAAAACAATTAAGAGTCATCGCGAGAATGAAAGGGGGCAACTCATATCGAGTTATACTTATTATAAAACCCAGGTTATTTTTTGTGTTCCTGTGTTCCTTTATATATTTTTTTTTTTTGGATTGTTTCTATTGTTTTTTTTTAAAAATTCCATTTACAAACACAATTGTTTATAATAAAATTCTATTCAATCAATAGACTCATAGCGATTGAAAACAATGTTTTTGTTTGAGTTTGGGATTGACCAATTCATAAAAAAAACAAAACAAAAAAACTAATTAAGACATGCATGTCCGTCAACCTTAAACAATAATCTTTGTCAATTTTATTTTTCAGTCTTTATGATGGTCGATACTTGATCTATCTCTTACTGTTACATCCCCGGGCAACGCCGGGCTCTACTGCTAGTAGTAAATAAAGATAGAATATTTACAAAAGTTTGATACAGCTTAGCACCTCTGGATGCGGTAGCAACTTGGAACCAAAGTGTGTGTTTTCAAATTTTTATCAAAGAATTGAACATTGAGTGAAGTTCAGGCGGGTGTGTGTTGATCAGCCAATTTTCAATGTCTCTCCTGTTAATTCTCCTGACTGGCTCTCTCTGCCATTTGCCAAAATGCTGTATATATAAGGACCCATCTACCCACGTGTTTTGTCACCCTCCTTTGATCACAAAAGGGGTCAAAAAGTGTCCTTTCTTCTGGTTTGTTTTTAACTTATCCAAACTTTAAATATCACTCACCTTCAAGGCCATTTGCATTCAAAATAACAACCTTACATATTTGTCTGATAAACCTTTAGGTAAACACAGGCAAAATAAATGTTGTCACCTGTCAAAATCTGTAGTCCTTTGAACAACAGATGTTTTCACAATCAAATTTCTTGGGAAAATTTGACTTCACCAAAAGATTCAAACTTATAAATTTTTCTGTTCCATTCGCTACCACCAAAAACCATAAATATAAAATACACTTCCCTAACAAACAAGTTACTTTGTTATATTAGACGAGATTTCTCTAGGCATGAGTAGAGGAACGAGAACAGTATAACCCTGTAGATTAAAGAAAGGGTTCAGTTCAGAATTGGTATGTTACCCAGATTGATATACACCTGAAGAAGGCTGAAGGGCAGAACAGCTGAAACATTGTGATAACAATAACAAAGATGAGGACAATAGTTTGAATGTAAATGAATAATGAATAATAACTCCTCATCCCAGAAATTCAAACAAACCATTTTTTTTTTTATAACCTACAGTTATTCTGATGACAATTTCTTGAAGAATTTGGAATTGTTTGATAAACTGTCCCTTCAGTTCGGTAACCGGTTGCTTCTGATCAAAGATGTCATTGGAACAGTTGAAATCTGCTGTTGGTACTTCTATGGCCACTCACAAAAGATTGCAGAGGTTTGCTGCACTTCAATTGTGTATGGAACCGACAAGAAACACACAAAGGTAAGATTCTTTTATTACAGGCTGTGTAACAGTGTGTGTGTGGATATATATATATATATATATATATATGCGTGTGTCACACTTTTTCAATTAAAGGGACACAACTCTCAAAAGATTCAATAGCTCATTTTACAGATTTTTGGGATTCTCAATTTTCATTAATGCGATTCTTTTGGTGATTTTTTTTTTGCAATAAATATTTTTGTAAGATAATTTTAATAACTTGGAAATAAATTTGGGAATAATCGAAGTTGTGAAGTCCAACAAAATATGAAATCCATGAAATAAAAATAATTGTTTGTATAGAAAGTAAGGACCTACATACATCAAATTGTCTTTTAAATTAAGATATGGGTTAATTATTAAAACTTGTTTGTATCACTAAACCATTATCATCTCAAAAATAAAAAAATTCTTACAATTTAAAAATATTTTCTGGCTTTAAGTACTCTGATTGATAAGCTGTCAAAAAACAAATTAATCTCTCCCAAATCAAAATGACTTTTAAATTTTATCATTATAAATGATGAAGTAGCATAATAGAAAAGAACATTCAAATATTTAGAAAATAGATATTTATTTTGATCCATCCAATTTTTAAACTGTGGTCTCCATGCACTGCAGCCACTTTTCCAATATTTTTTTGTTTTTAAAGCAAGTAATAAATGTTATAACAAAAATTTAAATTTTTAAAATGAATGAAAACTAAAATGAATTTGTTAAATTTTACTGTAATTGTTATAAAAATCACAACTTTATTTTATTTTTTTTTTTTTTATTTGAGATAAGGTATTTTAATTATTTACACTACTTACATTGTTCAGACTGTTGTCCTTATCTTTGTTGCCATATTTACAACATTTCATCCATTGTACACTTCGGCCTTCTTCAGGTGATTGGAATTTTGAACTGAACTCTTTATTTTGTCCCCCAGGATAGATTGTTCTAGTTCCACATAACATGCCTCTTCCGGATGTTGCAGTATCAGTTATCTCCCTTTTAACTTTACTCTCCCAGTTTTTGTTTACCTTATAACTGTTATGAGGTATTGAACTCACAACTCTTGGTTCAACCAACCCTTTTATCCACTGGGCCATGATAGATGAAATAAAGGGTTCAGTTTGAAATTTCAATCACCTGAAGAAAGCTGCAGCATACAACAACTGAAACGTTGTGAATATGATAACGAAGATGAAGACAACAGTCCGAACAATGTAAATAGTGTAAATAATTTCCTTTTTTTATTTAAACATTTTGGTTAAGTCACCTTAAATAGTTTTATACAGAAATATCCTTATTAATTAGTTTTCATACTCAGAGTAACTTTTATGAGGCTTTAATTTAAGAATTCTTCTCTACACACTCACCTAAATATTAACACATTCCAACTATTCATAGTGAAGTAAGATTTGAATTTCTTTCTAAAAGAAATTTTCATTTACACTTAACCTGCTTCAAAATGTGGTATACTTTTCTGTCTTTGTTTTATTTAAGATTCTTGTATTTTCAATTTAGTTTTTGTTAAGCAGAAAACATAACACTTAAATCTTGTTTGGCAATGGTCCATTTTTATGAAAATTTATGACAGTAGGAATAATTTTTTGTGTGACTTGTTTTGTTCTTTAGGACTTCAATGGACTAAAGTGATGTTTTCACTGATGAGATTACACATGTGCATGAAGGAGAGGGGATGCTGAAATTTTTAATTTGTCTTGCTGATTTCATTTAGTTTTGTATTTTTTGTTTATGATTTTATCACTTTTGTTAGTAAATATCCTACATTGTAATAATTGAAGATCTGCTAAGAAATGTGAAATGTAAAAACCTGGGCATAAATTTACAGTGGATGATCTAGCAATCTAAGCACTTCTTATACACTTTTGGCTTAGGAAATTGCTTTTTCTGTTTTGGGTCTAGCTGATTTCATTTAGTTTTTTTGTTTAGGATTTTATCACTTTTGTTATTAAATGTCACACATTGTGATAATAGAAGATCTGCCAAGAAAAGGCAAAATGTTTTAAAAACCTGGACCTAAATTTACTGTGGATGATCTATCAATTAAAACACTTTCTATACACTTTTGGCTTAGGAAATTGCTTTCTCTTTGAATTCAAGTAGAATTTTTTTAAATCAAAATTACAATCAGATTCATTACGATAAACACTTCATTCTGAATCCCATGACCAGCACTCAAAAATAAAATAAAAATAAAATGATATCTTGTTATGATCATAACAAATTTGAGTAAGCTTATGTACTGAATGACCATTGCATTTTCAGTGTTCTAAGAACCTGGGCATAAATTTATCATGGATGATCTAGCAATCAAAGCACTTTCTATACACTTTCATCTTGGTAAATTGCTTTATCTGTTTTGGGTTTATAGTCTAACCAATTTCATTTGGTTTATTTTTCTTTTTGTTTATGATTTTTTTCACTTTTGTTAATAAATATCCCGCATTGTGATAATAGAAGTTCTGCCAAGAAAGGTGAAATGTTGTAAAAACATCAATGTAAATTTACTGTGGATGATCTAGTGATTAAAGCACTTTCTATACATTTTTTTTCTTTGTAAATTACTTTTTGTTTTAGTTAAACATATGTAAAGATTGTTGTTTTTTTTTTGTTTTTTTTCAGGTTGAATATCCTGAAGCCAGGATTTTTGAGGAAACCCTTAATGTGTTACTCTATAAAAATTTGGACAAAGGCCCGGATGCTGAGCTGATCAAGGCAACAAGGGGTGGGGCAGCTGCAATACCTGGTGGCTATCACAGTGACGATGACATGGAGGATTGGCTTGAAAGAGTCGAGAGACTTCGTCGCAAATGAGACAGTGTATCCAGATATTTTTTTGCCTGTCCCATTTTTTAAATTAAAATTAAGGAAAATTTTTAAAATTTTAAATGGAAATAAATAAAGCCCAGAAAGAAGGGAAATATACAGTGATCACCCACTTTTTCGTCCACCACCGCCATTTTTCGTGGAAATCCTAAAAATTTTTTGATATGAAACCAGTTGATAAGGCTCAAATCCATGAATTCTAATGAAAATTTTTTCGACCAAGTTTTAGATGAGGATTTGCCTGTCCCTAATGATAAATTAAAGAAAGGAAAACGTAAAATGAAAAGACCAAGTTTTAGAAGGGAAATAACTCACTCCATGAATTCTAATGAAAAATATTTTCGAACAAGTTTTAGACGAGGGATTTGCCTGTCCCTAATGATAAATTAAAGAAAGGAAACGTAAATGTAAAGCCCAGAAAGAAGGGAAATATACAGTGATCACCCACTTTGCGTCCACCGCATTTTCCTTGAAATCCTAATTACTTGATATGAAACCAGTGCTTACTAGACTCACTCCATGAATTCTAATGAAAAATATTTTTTTTTTCGACAAGTTTTAGATGAGGGATTTGCCTGTCCCTAATGATAAAAGAAAAGAAAGAAAACGTAAAATGTAAAGCCCAGAAAGAAGGGAAATATACAGTGATCACCCACTTTGCGTCCACCGCATTTTTCGTGGAAATCCTAATTACTTGATATGAAACCAGTGCTTACTAGGCTCACTCCATGAATTCTAATGAAAAATATTTTCGAACAAGTTTTAGATGAGGGATTTGCCTGTCCCTAATGATAAATTAAAGAAAGGAAACGTAAATGTAAAGCCCAGAAAGAAGGGAAATATACAGTGATCACCCACTTTTTGTCCACCGCATTTTTCGTGGAAATCCTAATTACTTGATATGAAACCAGTGCTTACTAGGCTCACTCCATGAATTCTAATGAAAAATATTTTCGAACAAGTTTTAGATGAGGGATTTGCCTGTCCCTAATGATAAATTAAAGAAAGGAAACGTAAATGTAAAGCCCAGAAAGAAGGGAAATATACAGTGATCACCCACTTTGCGTCCACCGCATTTTTTTTCGTGGAAATCTAATTACTTGATATGAAACCAGTGCTTAGTAGGCTCACTCCATGAGTCCAAATGAAAAATATTTTCGATCAAGTTTTAGATGAGGGATTTACCTGTCCCTAATGATAAATTAAAGAAAGGAAACGTAAATGTAAATGTAAAGCCCAGAAAGATGGGAAATATACAGTGATCACCCACTTTGCGTCCACCGCATTTTTTGTGGAAATCCTAATTACTTGATATGAAACCAGTGCTTACTAGGCTCACTCCATGAATTCTAATGAAAAATTTTTTCGAACAAGTTTTAGATGAGGGATTTGCCTGTCCCTAATGATAAATTAAAGAAAGGAAACGTAAATGTAAAGCCCAGAAAGAAGGGAAATATACAGTGATCACCCACTTTGCGTCCACCGCATTTTTTTTCGTGGAAATCCTAATTACTTGATATGAAACCAGTGCTTACTAGGCTCACTCCATGAATTCTAATGAAAAATATTTTCGAACAAGTTTTAGATGAGGGATTTGCCTGTCCCTAATGATAAATTAAAAAAGGAAACGTAAATGTAAAGCCCAGAAAGAAGGGAAATATACAGTGATCACCCCACTTTGCGTCCACCGCATTTTTCGTGTGAAATCCTAATTACTTGATATGAAACCAGTGCTTACTAGGCTCACTCCATGAATTCTAATGAAAAATATTTTCGAACAAGTTTTAGATGAGGGATTTGCCTGTCCCTAATGATAATTTAAAAAGAAGGAAACGTAAATGTAAAGCCCAGAAAGAAGGGAAATATACAGTGATCACCCACTTTGCGTCCACCGCATTTTTTCGGAAATCCTAATTACTTGATATGAAACCAGTGCTTACTAGGCTCACTCCATGAATTCTAATGAAAAATATTTTCGAACAAGTTTTAGATGAGGGATTTGCCTGTCCCTAATGATAAATTAAAAAAGGAAACGTAAATGTAAAGCCCAGAAAGAAGGGAAATAAAGCCCAGAAAGAACAGTGATCACCCACTTTTTTGTCCACCGCATTTTTCGTGGAAATCCTAATTACTTGATATGAAACCAGTGCTTACTAGGCTCACTCCATGAATTCTAATGAAAAATATTTTCGAACAAGTTTTAGATGAGGGATTTGCCTGTCCCTAATGATAAATTAAAGAAAAAGAAAACGTAAATGTAAAGCCCAGAAGAAGGGAAATATACAGTGATCACCCACTTTGCGTCCACCGCATTTTTTTTCGTGGAAATCCTAATTACTTGATATGAAACCAGTGCTTACTAGGCTCACTCCATTAATTCTAATGAAAAATATTTTTTTTTCAAGTTTTAGATGAGGGATTTGCCTGTCCCTAATGATAAATTAAAGAAAGGAAAACGTAAATGTAAAGCCCAAAAAAGAAAAGGAAATATACAGTGATCACCCACTTTGCGTCCACCGCATTTTCGTGGAAAATCCTAATTACTTGATATGAAACCAGTGCTTAAGGCTCAAATGAATTCTAATGAAAAATATTTTCGATAAAGTTTTAAAGGGATTTTTGCCTCCCTAATGATAAATTTAAAAAAGAAAACGTAAATGTAATGTAAAGCCCAGAAAGAAGGGAAATATAAGTGAAAAATTTTTTCCACCGCATTTTTCGTGGAAATCCTAATTCCTTGATGAAACCAGTGCTTTAGGCTCACTCCATGAATTCTAATGAAAAATATTTTCGAAAAATGAGGGAAAGTCCCTAATGATAAATTAAAAAGAAACGTAAAATAAAAAGCCCAGAAAGAAGGGAAATATACAGTGATCACCCACTTTGCGTCCACCGCATTTTTTCGTGGAAATCCTAATTACTTGATATGAAACCAGTGCTTACTAGGCTCACTCCATGAATTCTAATGAAAAATATTTTCGAACAAGTTTTAGATGAGGATTTGCTTGTCTAATGATGATAATTTAAAGAAAGGAAAACGTAATGTAAAGCCCAGAAAGAAGGGAAATATACAGTGATCAACTTTGCGTCCAAGCATTTTTTCAAAAATCCTAATTCCTTGATAAAACCACAGTAGGCTCACTCCATGAATTCTAATGAAAAATATTTTCGAACAAGTTTTAGATGAGGGATTTGCCTGTCCCTAATGATAATTTAAAGAAAGGAAACGTAAATGTAAAGCCCAGAAAGAAGGGAAATATACAGTGATCACCCACTTTGCGTCCACCGCATTTTTCGTGGAAATCCTAATTACTTGATATGAAACCAGTGCTTACTAGGCTCACTCCATGAATTCTAATGAAATATTTTTTCGAACAAGTTTTAGATGAGGGATTTGCCTGTCCCTAATGATAAATTAAAAAAGAAAAAACGTAAATGTAAAGCCCAGAAAGAAGGGAAATATACAGTGATCACCCACTTTGCGTCCACCGCGTCCACCGCATTTTTCGTGGAAATCCTAATTACTTGATATGAAACCAGTGCTACCTAGCCTCACTCCATGAATTCTAATGAAAAATATTTTTGGAACAATTTTTAGATGAGGGATTTGCCTGTACCTAATGATAAATTAAAGAAAGGAAACGTAAATGTAAAGCCCAGAAAGAAGGGAAATATAAAGTGATCACCCACTTTGCGTCCACCGCATTTTTTTTTCGGAAATCCTAATTACTTGATATGAAACCAGTGCATACTAGGCTCACTCCATGAATTCTAATGAAAAATATTTTCGAACAAGTTTTAGATGAGGGATTTGCCTGTCCATAATGATAAATTAAATAAAGGAAACGTCAATGTAAAGCGCAGAAAAGAAGGGAAATATACAGTGATCACCCACTTTGCGTCCACTGCATTTTTTGTGCAAATCCTAATTACTTGATATGAAACCAGTGCTTACTAGGCTCACTCCATGAATTCTAATGAAAAATATTTTTCAAAACCAGTGCTTACTAGGCTTTTTTTTCGAAAGTTTTAGATGAGGGATTTGCCTGTCCCTAATGATAAATTAAAAAGAAAAACCAGTGCTAAACGTAAATGTAAAGCCCAAAGAAAGAAGGGGAATATACAGTGATCACCTACTTTCCGTCCAACGCATTTTTGGTGGAAATCCTAACTACAGATATGAAACCCGTGCTTACTAGGCTCACTCCCTGAATTCTACTGAAAAATATTTTCAAACAAGTTTTAGATGAGGGATTTGCCTGTCCCTAATGATAAATTAATGAAAGGAAACGTAAATGTAAAGCCCAGAAAGAAAGGAAATATACAGTGATCACCCACTTTGCGTCCACCGCATTTTTCGTGGAAATCCTAATTACTTGATATGAAAACCAGTGCTTACTAGGCTCACTCCATGAATTCTAATGAAAAATATATTTTTTCGAACAAGTTTTAGATGAGGGATTTGCCTGTCCCTAATGATAAAATTAAATTTAAAGAAAAAAATGATAAATAAAGAAAGGAAACGTAAATGTAAAAGCCCAGAAAGAAGGGAAATACAGTGATCACCCACTTTGCGTCCACCGCATTTTTCGTGGAAATCCTAATTACTTGATATGAAACCAGTGCTTACTAGGCTCACTCCATGAATTCTAATGAAAAATATTTTTCAAACAAGTTTTAGATGAGGGATTTGCCTGTCCCTAATGATAAATTAAAGAAAGGAAACGTAAATGTAAAGTCCCGAAAGAAGGGAAATATAAAGTGATCACCCACTTTGCGTCCACCGCATTTTTCGTGGAAATCCTAATTACTTGATATGAAACCAGTGCTTACTAGGCTCACTCCATGAATTCTAATGCAAAATATTTTTCGAACAAGTTTTTTCCATGAGATGAGGGATTTGCCTGTTTGCCCCTAATGATAAATTAAAAGAAAAGAAACGTAAATGTAAAGCCCAGAAAAAAAGGGAAATATACAGTGATCACCCA